AAATTTTGGCCTAAGCCCTTATGAAATCAGAAGAATATTTGAAATAGAAGAATTTTGAAAAAATTTTTTCTGTATTTTAAATTTATAAGCTTAATGAAAAATTTGGACTTATAAGATGGGTTTTTATAGCGTAAATGAACTTGCTGAATTATAGCTAAATGAAACTTAAATAATAACCGGCTGAATTCTTTGGCTGCATTACTACGATTCTTCGGGTGGTGGTTTCAAAAAAATTAAAAGTCATGAATGTTACAATTTCCTATTATTCGGGCAAAGATCACCGAATTTAGATTACTACAAAAAGTAAAGCAGCAAAAATAACGGTGTAATTCGTGATGTAAACTTTTTAGATGCTATCATCACAGTTCCGGTCAGCAGAGCAATTCACATGCAATAACCGAATGCATAACGAGATGCGATGAAAAATTAGACAAACACGAATGCATTAACGACAATTAGAGAACATTTAATACTTAAATATCTACATACATATAAGTATATATAGTATGTACTTATCTATAAATAAATATTTCAATTGAAAAAACAATTACCAAACATTTCCATAGAGCGAGCATCTGAGACAGCGTTCACACACGACAATGTTTCTTGCTCAAACAAGTAGTTTGTAGGCGAGGAGCGACAGGGCATCCCTTTTTATTTCGAAATACTTTCCATGGATGCTCGGTTTCAAATGAATACAATAAGTTCGAAAATTGGCTTTTTAATATGCAATTTTTAGATGAAAAATGTAAACGCACAATATTACAACATTTTTTCAATGGTTAGTTAGAATATAACTCAGTTAATTAAATATATTTTTGTACCTCGCGTAAAAGAAGCGTACAAGAATTCGCGAATATGATATGAAAGGGTACTCAGAACATTCGCCGACTCAAGTGGTTCGAGTCGCACATGTGAACGGAATGAACACCACCAAAAGAGAAGTTGCCGATAATGTGTAGCAACTTTCTTCGTGTGTAAACGCAGTCTAACTGCATCTTTATTAGTGACATTTAATACAAATGTTGATATTAAGTGTGATAGATATGAAAATGCAAACATTGGCGAAAATTGATGAGTGCAAATATCTTGTATATTATGTTCTTCTAGCCGCCTAGCTGTGCAAATTTCCAGCCATATTTTTGTTATTCGAGTGCAAGTGGCATTTGCATTTACAATTAAAAAATATGAATGCGTTTTCAGGTCTAAGCGATTTCTCAGTGTCAATTGTGTTATGCCATTATAACCATTATACGATACTTAATTATGTATGTAAATTGACATATGAAACTGTTCCGCTTGTGCTGCGTTCGTAAAGTGTTTGCGTGGATTATTCGCATAATTGACTCGCAAATATAAGCCGCTTTGCATTAACTATGAGCACCTGCGCACTTATGCATGCCAACACTTGCATACAAATATATGTATGTGTGTGTGCGTGTGCGCGCACTTGAATGCAATGAATTGCGATTAACAGCTTGTTGTTGTTGTACGACGAGCCTCCAACGCTTGCACACCAATTGAATTCACCACTATATATTGTCTCACTTGAATGTGTTGAGCGCTACAGACTTTTTGCGGTTAGTGTAAGTGCATAAAACGAGCAAATACGCAGCACTCGAATACTTTGCGCGTACGTCATAAACTGAGTTATGAGACGCGACGCGGATGCAATTTTTGCAAAATGTAAACAAACTGTAAAGGACGTTGTTGTTGTTTTCCTGTTTTATTTTTTTTTTTATTTTTTTTGTTCAAATAGGCGTGTAACACATGGTGCAATATAATTAGTTGTAAGCGTAAATGACCATATTAACAGTGCTTAGTATGTACATTAGGGTGGGATAAAATTTTTATATAATAAAAAATTTATATTTAATTTGTATAATAATATTTGTATAGCCCATAGAACCAAAAGGGTTAGATATAGATTTTTTTTATAGTAGAGGGAAGCAGCGACAGCCATAGCGCGGAACTTTAATTCGCTAAACCTAACTTACTCCCAACTCAAGACTCTCCCACGGAACGATCGGCCGACAGTTTTCCATTAATCCGTGGCCTGAAACATGGGTGTTGTCAAATTTTTGATCGTGAAATTACCACCGAGTGTAGTTTTTAGTGTTTAACTTGTGTTTAAAAAGCTATAAAATAATACATGTTCAGAGTCTTCTATATATTCTGTACAAGTCGGACATGTTGAAATATGTAGAGCACCCATGCAGACTTATTATTTGGGTCAGATGGAAATCATGGCCCTCATGTCCCTTGTCTACCCACGATTGGATGTCCGGTATCAACATGTGGGTCCACCGTCCTTTGGATGAGGATTGCCACCTGCTGCCACAGTTTGGTGCTCTTGTTCCTCTTCTCTCTCCTTGCAAATACTGCACTGAGTGTTTATAGCTGATATAATTGCCCCCTTTTACAATAAAAACATTTCGAGATTTTATCGCTCCACCTTAATGTACTTGCTTCTAAATAAAGTTCGATATGTGTACATATAATACATACATAAATATAAGTACTAAGTTGTTACATAGCAGTTTTTTTGCATTCTGTTGCCAATTTGCATTGTACATGTAAGCGTTGCAAATTGCGAGTGCTCTTCTAAGTACTTCTATCTAAAGTGCATGTTGCTTGTTGTTGTTTATAACACAGCGAGATAAATCAACAAATAACAAAAACAAATGGCAACAGCAGAAATTAGTCAACAAACAAAAACAAGTCACTATGCATATATTATACTACATACGTATGTATGTAAATAGCTATACAGTTATTTTAGCCGCAAATGCTTGTCAAAGAGTTCAATAATATCTTAAAAATCAATGAAGCGGCTAATAATAATGTTTATTATAAGTTATATAAAAATATATTGGCAAAGCACTGCTGATGAACGAGCAAATTACATGCTTGACAACGCGACTCAGTACTAAATAAACGGGACTAAATCACCCTGATCGGTATCGTGTTATCAAAGTGAACCTCAGTAGCTGTTAAAGCTTTGTTGGAGCACTTAAGACACCACATTTTATACCATGCACCGGGTATATTGAGTTTGCCACGAAGTTTGCAAAACCCAGACGTAAAAGTCGGGACCTTATAAAGTATATACTTGTATGTATGTACAAATGTATTTTAATGACCAGTGTGACGAGCCAAGTCGATCTAGTTATGTCCAGGTTTGCAAATAATGCATTAAAAAATAATTGAATCAACATTAGATTTAAGAACAAAAAAAAAAAAATTTAATCCTGCATGCCGAATTAAAAAATATAAAAAAAATCTTCAATCCCACATACCGGATTAAAAAATGAAAAAAACAAAAATTTAAAAACTACCGGATTGAAAAATAAAAAAGAAAAATTTTAAAATCAAGCATATAATTAAGATTTATAAGAATAATTTGTTTAAGAATTAAAATTTTTTTGAAGTCATTTAAATCAAAAATTAATATTTTCAATTTTTAATTATAAGTCCAAAACATCTTGGATTAAAAAATAAAAATCTAAGTTTAAATCCCCTTTTTGGGATTAAAGAATGAAAATCTAATTTTTAAAACGGGAGGAGATTGTTTTCTAAATCAATAAATTAACGAAATGGTTCGAATAACAACAAAACCAGTAAGAAAAAGAGCAATCACCGAGCGGTTTATCTGAAGTGATCTGTTTGAAAATGAGTAATTTATATATAATTTATGTGAACATTGCATTATAATCATACCCAATCAGGGGCGTTCTTTTGGAATTCGTTAACAGCAAATATGGAAATACATCTTTTGACGGATTTTTGTATACAATTTTTGCATGTTATATTGACAATTTTGGTTGCAATTTGGTTTTTATATAATTTTTTATTGTTAATTAAACTCGAATTTTTTCTAGACGTTTTGCTAAAATGAAATCAAATGCTGCTTATCTCATTAAGTCTTCAGTGTCTGACAGTTTTAGTTTTTTACATATTTCTAATGTAGATATTGTTAGAAACATATCTTATAAAGGATTTGATCGAAAGCATGATGGTTGAGGATATTTCGTGCTCCAAACCCGGCTCTGCGCTGACTATTCACGTCGCCGAATAATTTTTAAACGCGTTTTTCCAAAGTTGGTTTTTTTTTAGTTCTGACATTCTTAAAAAATCTATAAATTACCATTAATTCCCAAAACATCTCGTTATGCTTAGACATGAGCTTTTTTGTAAATATTTTGTTTTAATTTGTCAGCTTGAAAAACATGAAAAATCTTTAATTTTTTTATTCGCTGATATTTTGTCAGATTTTCAATTATAAAAAAAAAAAACTATTGTCTAGTCATAACTGGGTTTATAAACATTAAGTAAAATGAGGTAGGTTTTGCAATCCGTTGTCAAAAATAGGCTCGAAATTTGAGCGCGAAGTTATTCGAGCCCCTTAACTAACCATTTGATTGATAACAGGTTTTAACTGTAAAATCAAACCAACAAATAAAATTTCTGTTCTCAATCGAATGTGTCGCAAGCCCTGACATATTAAACTACACATTAAATTTTGCATTTTTAGTTCCAAATACATTATTCTAATTTAAATATTTTATGTAATAAATTGTGAATTTCAAGTCATTTTTTATGATTAAATTTTTTTTATTCATAGTTATAACTAGTTTTTAAATATCCAAATGAATTTTCAATTCTTTAGTTCTTATACATTTGGCACCACTAATTATTAGTCCAATGCAAAAAAAGGAAAATTAAAGAATATTCAACATAAAATGCGGAAACGTGCAATTTGACCTCTGTTGATAATGAAGAATGTCTGCAAAGAATAATTATGAAAAAATAAATAAAAAATTCTTAAAACCCTTACTTAATAAGTATATACATATATATACATTTTTGCCATCAGCTTATTTATAAATAGCGCGTGCATTGTGCGAAATAATACGTTCTTAAATTTTCAGTATACGAGTATTATCTTTATAAACACGTTTTTGCATTTTTCATTTTCTCTTTCGTTCACTACTTTGCAGCTCGATGGCCTAAAACACGTAACGGATGCACATCAATTTCCAGAAGATGAGGAACCAAATATACTGGGTCATGGCACACCGATGGAAGAAAAGTCTGATCCATTAACCACCGAGAAGTTAATGAAATTCAAAACTGTATTGAATTTTGAAGATGTGAGTGAATAAGATAGATTTGTATGTATGTATATATGCAAATTAAAAAACAAATTAAGCACTTGTGTAAAATTATTTTATAAGTTTTAAGTCAATGTTTAAATCATATGGCATCCTCCTATCAAAGGGAATACCTACAAAATTCTCTACTAGAAGATATTGTCCGCACAATGTCCAAGTTCGAAAAAAATTAACAATAGACAAAATGAAGGTGTTTTTAAAAAAGTTGAATTTTACCTAAATTTTGGTCGTTTTTTGCCTGCCAAAATTCGATTTTTGGTCAGATCAAAAAACGCGACCATCTATACACTTTAGAAGGCTGTAACTAAAACCAATTTGAGACATCGCTATATGAAAAAAATCACCCTATACCATGAACATATCGTATAATATAACATTAAGTTTGCCACGAAGTTTGTAATACACAGAACAAAACGACGGAGAAAATATATGTATATATAAATAAATGATCAGCGAGTCGATTTAGAGATGTCCATCTGTGTATCTGTATATACGTGAACTGATCTGTCTGTCAGTTTTTGAGATGTCAGTCTGAAATTTTGCACACGTCATTTTCTCACCCAGAAGCTGCTCATTTGTCGGAACCGCTGATATCGCACCACTATAGTATATAGCTCCCATACAAACTAAACGATCGGATACAAGGGCTTGTATGGAAAACTTTTTCATTTGACGAAATATCTTCATCAATTTTGATACGAGTTGTTGTCCAAAGCAACAGTGCAATTTTCGAAGAATTTGTGCAGATCGAGTTACTATAGCATATAGCAGCCATACAAACTGACCGATCAAAGTTCTTGTGATGAATATTTTGTATTTGTGAAGCAACCGAAGTTAATTTCTTTTCTTTCCATACTACAAGTAAATAAATGTGCGCTATGAGACTATCACTTAGTCCACTTTAAACCACTTTTCTCGAAAGGTCTGTCGTGGCAACGTTTTTAGCATAGACCACTAAATTGACGTAGGTCATAAAAAGTTGTCTGACGGAGTCAAGGAACATGACCGCGGTGGCCAATTTTCCTTGATTCCTTACTCTCTAAATATGATAATTATCCTTTTTTATGAACTTGTTAAATGTGTTTCATCGCTAAAGTGAGAATTGCTCTTTAAATTAAAGGGTAGTTCCGGTGTTAGTATTTTCATGGTACATTTCCAAAGAATATTTAACAAAAATGTCAAACATATATATAACAGTTCTTATAGGAAATTTTATACTTCTAATAAACCGTCTTATAAAAGAAATACTGTGAAAGCGTAGTCAGATATCAGTTGAATTAAAATTAATTACTTCAAATCATAAAATAATTTTTGCTACAAAAGATAATTAGTTGAAATCTAAATATTTGTTCAAAATATTTCATTTGGAATAGTCCACTCACGTTTAAAAAAAAATCATATAAAAGGCTACGCAGATAGTTGTCAAATTTCAGGGGGAGGTGGTTAAAATTGTACTTGTTTTACTCTCCCATTTGCTCTTCCCCATATGTTCTTCACCATGTGCGGGCGCACACTATGTGTTTAGCCTAAGTACTTTTTTTTAACTCACTGACAGCTTTTACGAGATTTTTAACTCACTGACAGCTTTTACAAGACAGAACTACTTACTCATATACTCATAATTATATGTATAGTATTAAATGAGCCAGAAGGTGGCTTTCAGCTTCCGATTATTGGAAAAGATACCAAATTATTAATATTTTTCAATGAAAATGTATAAACTATGAGAAAGTAGGGCATCTTCATATCAAAACCGGCAAAAATTACGAGAATATTTTACATAGTTATTTACACAAATGTATCTTTATTAATGCATGCTGCATCCAAAAACATGCCTAAAATCAAAGCTAAGAAATCAAAATAACAAACCATTAGTTTATACAGAAAAAAACCAAATCGATGCGATAAAGCAAAGCACAAAGTAAATCAAGGTCAGCTTATTAACATTTTATTTTGCTTGGCTCCAAAGCTGTCAACGCTCTAACCAAATGCCCAAATGTAAATGTGCAGCAATAACAAAATGTAAAAAAACCCGTGTTATAAAGCACCACCAATTGAAGAGACTTCAATGACCTCTAGTGTGGCAGGCGAACAGTTTCAATTCGACTGGTTGCTTCTTCTGCTTCATTTATGTACTTGTATGCACATATGTGTGTAAGCTCATTTTTTGGCAGCGAATTGGCAATTTGTCGCGGTTTTCATTGTGTCCAATTATAAAGTATAATATGCTAACAGCATATATGTACATATATTTGTATGTATACAACAGCGACAATGCCAAAGTGTCAAATGCATTTGAAGGGAATTCAATTACAATACATTACATGTAAAAATACTTTTGAATTTTGAAGGCAACAACTACACTTGTTTACATATTCATATTTAAGGTTTATGGCAGTTGTTAGCTATAAACTTACATACATACAAACAAATGTGCATAATACTTAAACATGCGTGTCATTCGAAGCGTCTAATATTTCTTTAAATGATAACAATGAGACCTTCTGCTTAATGCACGCATTGGGCAATATTGCGTGTAAGTGGATATAACACTTGCAAGTCAGAAAAAACGTGAATTCGTGATTTTTTTTTAAAATAAATAAATAGAAATAAGCTACATTTACAGAATTTAATGTACTTTAATAATCAGTGATTTATTGTGAAAAATTATGACTACATACCTTGATGCCGTATCCGATCTCCAGTTGGCCCTCCGAAACAAGATGACTAGCGGTGACAAAGATTTGTCTACTTAAAATTATTTCAAATCCAAGAAGTAAGGAAGCGCTAAGTTCAAGTGTAACCGAATATTTCATATTCTTGCAACTTGCAAGGAACAAAGGCGGCGAAATACCTACAGGTTTTGGCAAAACTTTATATCAAAATAAGGAATTTATCGTTATGATTTTATTCACCGTTACAGAAAGAGTTTCCTTTTGAATTTCATTAAGATTTCTTACGTATTGACCGATAGGTGCGGTATAAAGTAAATCGGACGTTCAATTATATTTATGTTAGGTATAACAATTTTTGGACGTAAGATGAAATATCCTGGAAGTACTATTTGTGAAAAGTTTTATTCTGATAACTTTATTGATGTTGGTTTTTTTTGACGGAATCCAAAAGGTTGTTATATTGGAATTAGGCGTACTTGTCATTTTTGTAGTGTCTAATAAGAATTTTTGGGTAACATCACACAAAAAATTTGAAATTGGTCGTGTCGTTTCTGAGATATAGGATTTCACCTAAAGGTGGGCGGTGCCACTCCCCTCGTCAAATTTTCACACTAGATTCTATAAAGCCCTTCTTTACCATCCTGGTTGTGAAATTTACGCTTGTGACTCATTTATTCAGTGAGTAATTGTAATTTAAGTAGTTTTCAACATAACCGTTATATTGGGAGTGGGCGTGTAGGTGATACAAATTGTTATGTGTTAGGTGAACAAAAATATTATACTCTGTAGCAACATGTCGCAAGAGTGTAAACACAAGCAAAAAAAACAAATTCTTAATGCTATAGCTGAATACAGGCAATGAGCGAAAGACGAGTTTAAATTTTTTTTGGACAAAATGGCGGCTTCTGAAAAAAGTTTCTTGATTTGGTAAAACCTCGAAACCTAAAAACGAAAAATTTTTTAATACAATCACTTTATTTTGATCGGTCAGTTTGTAGGGTAGCTGTATGATTTAGTGATCCGATCTGAACAATTGGTTTGATTACATCATTGTCACGTGGAAATTTCAAGTTGATCGATGCAGCCGTTTCGTTGAAATTTTACTCATCGACTCCGTTTACACTAAGCTAAAAAAATGTTACAAATACACTCATATCACCAAAACTATATGCGAGATGAACTTAAAATTTTTGAAGAATATTCTCAAATATATGTACATTCGATATATAAGTAAAAAAATCGATTTTTTTTAAATTCATAAGTGGATATAACCCCTTAAATTATGGCAGAGTCGCATTCATTGCATTTTATAGCAATTTAAAAATAAAAATAATTTAATATTTTTAATAATTTTAAAAATTCAACGCTTACTTACTTTTCTTTGATAAAAATTGCAGGCACCTGATCACCTTAAATTCAATCCTTACATTCGTCGTGGCTACCGCACATTCCTCTCCACAAAATTATGCCTACAAAGCGTTTTCTGGTGGACCAACGAAACTGTAAGTGGATCGAAAATAAAAATTATTAAAAAAAGATAAATTGTAATATTTTTTTTTTACAATTACTTACAGATCAATATTTGGAGTCATCTCTTTGGTTGTCTGCTCTTCATAGGCCTAACCATATTCGATTTCCAGTTTCTGCAAGCGCATGCGGATGTAAGCGATCAGGTGCTGGTTGTGTGTCTCTTGGTCTGCTTCTGCCTATGCATGCTGCTCTCTTCAATTTATCATATATTCTCCTGCAAATCAGAAGAGCATTATGATTTCTTCTTGTCCGTGGACTTCTTGGGTATTTGCTTATCGTTGGTGGCGATCTATATCAGTGGCATGTACTATGCATTTTGGTGCTTCAAGGTGAGCGTGAAAGATTTTTAATTGAAAAAATTACAATTATTAAAAATTAAATAAGTAGTTTTTTATTATATTTTTTATATATTTTAAACTTTTCTAATTCGCACAGACACTCCGTCTCGTCTACTCTGTGATTGCATTGTGTATGTTCGGCTTGGCGATGATGGTGCAAATTCCCAAGTTGAATGTCTCTTTGGACGCTAAAATCGCTGTGCTGGTACTGTGGGCCGCCTACGGTATTATACCGTTAGCGCATTGGACCTATGTGATGGGTGGATTTGACAATGAGTTGGTGCGGGTAAGTCAAATCACAATACTAAATAATTGTTCTAAAAAAAAAATAATTATAAACGAATCATTTACATTTAACAGTTAATGGTGCCGCGCATAATTGGTATGTATGGCTGGTGCGCTGTCGCTTTCGTTATTTATGCCGCGAAAATACCAGAGCGTTGGCTTACCGGCAAGGTGGATTATGTTGGACATTCGCACAATTGGTGGCATCTGTTCATTTTGGCCGCTTTCTATCACTGGCACAACACTGGTCGGTCTTAAAAGCAGAAAAATTGTTCAAAACAAATTATTAAATATATTTTAATTGTTTCTCGCAGGTCTTGTCTATGCTGAGTATCGTTTGAATAACGGTTGTAGTCTTCCAACATTGACATAGATCATTGAACCTAAACCAAATCGCGTTGTTATTTAATTATTTTAAATTTTTTTCCAACGCCTAGGCATATCTTTAGTGTATGTTGTTATTACTTTGTGATTTCAGCACGTTAATCATTCAATGAGGCACCTCAACAACGGCTAGTAAACGTACCTTTAAATATACATATACCTACATATATATATACAAATATGGATATATTCATAACTTTATAGGTACTTAGTTGTAATTGCAAATCTAGTTCAGTCACTCATTATTTAGTTTTAATGCACATTTGTATATACATAATCGAAATATTTAGAAGAAGAATTTATTATTTGGTTTCGAAGACTTTGTTACTCTTTTGAAAATATGTAATTAATAAAGTTGCATGTTATAAAGACACTACATATAAGTGAAATGTAGGTGAATGTCTTTAAATTTTAAGGAAATCGGTATTTAAAAGTATAAAGCGTTTTTAACTAGTCCCATCTGATCAAATTTCACACGGACTGATCCATTAAAACTGCACGTGCAAACTGAATTGGTAAAATTGTATATCCTGGATTGGTATAATCCTTTTTAAATTTTTTTAATTAAGGTGATCTTCATATGTCAATTATTGTGTGTAGTTGGCAGCTGTTTGTTTACGTCGCAAAAGGTTAGTCTGGCCATTTTTATATATATATCGGCGAATACGATGGTTAAGCGATAACTCTCGTTTACGGATTGACAAAAAAGTCGGATGATTATTTCTAAAATGTGACGGCACACTCAGGTCTTTTGGCACCAGTTTAGCATTGACACGCTTCATACCCAAAACATTAACCAAAATGTGTTGAGTCGTTCCAGAAGAGATGTTGAGATACTCTGCAATCACTCTGATGCCAACACGATGATTTTCAAACACTCTTTAACTTTTTCTATGTTATCGTCATTAATAGAGGTCTCGAATGAGACACTCAAATACTTGTGTTCGCGATAAAACTGACTTCCCAAAACACTTCTACAACATTTTCATGCATGTATATTCCAATTGTATAATAATGAATTTTTAATATTATTTGCTCCTATATTTTGGTCTTTGTCATCAAGCCATTTTTGCAGGCAATGATATTAAATTTTTGATTGTGGATGATTTGTAAACAACATTTTGTAGGAAAGTCCCTTTTTAAAACACAATACTTATGAGCTTGTACGAATCAGTAATATAACTTTATTTCGATTTTCGGCTTCTTTTGGAAACTATTGAAACAGCTTCTAGTATCTAATCCACCTAGTTGATCACTCCCTATGAATTTTTGACTCGAAACCACTTGCAAAAGATTTGACTCTGTTTGTTTTATCGGTTGACCCTGTTTGCAGAATAGCTTCAAAGAGCACAAGCCGCCGGCTAGATAATATTGGTCGCGGTAGCTGTTTTATTTGATTTGTTTCAGTTTGATGAGCACTTTATCTGTGTATTTTATATTGCACATTATATTTATAATATTTAATAATCAATTGAATTTAAATTATATTTTTAGTAAAAAATGAACAAGGCTACTAAACTTTCGCTTCCGATTATTGCTATTTCTCTTCCTATGCGTTTATTTTGATTATGCGCCGTGGAAACATTTATATAACGGCGTTGATATTCTTTGTTAGCTAAACCAGAGAACGTATAATATGATATACAATTATGATATACGTTCACTGGCTAAACGAGGTTCATGAGCGCACTAATGCACATTCGAAGTATGGAACCTCAAACATGGTTGTGTTCTAGACTAACTTCGAACTCAACACTGGGTGCATAGTAAAATAAATAGTACGTACAGCTAGCACAGGGTAACACAAATTTTCTAATCAAATAAATAATTTACAATATAAGCTGTTGTAAATAATATTTAATTGGAATAAATAAGTAAGGGATTTATAATACGTGTGGAATAAATGGTCTTTAAGGAGAAAGAGATTTTCAAACATTGATAGATGCCTGAAAAATATTAATAATAATTAATTTTGCAACAGAAACAATTACTTATATTATTAATGGAAAAATTTTCGTAAACCAGTTCATTCTATATGATGAAGTAAGGAAATATATGTACATATTAAATATATATAATTTTGTTCACTTAACGGTTGTGAGTATCTCCTAAAACTAATCGAGATAGATATATGGTTATATATATATATATATATATAAATAAATGACTAGTTGAAATCCGGATGTCTGTCTGTCCGTCTGTCTGTGCAAGCTGTAACTTGAATTGGATGATGTATAATCACTTTCACTGGTTCCTCTAGCGTTAAAATTAACGAAGATTACATTTCTAGTTTTTGCTCTTTTTTTATATTCTAAAAAGCATTAAAAATTAAAATTTTGCCCTACACAAAATACTTACATATAAAGAGAAAACTGTAGAAAACGTTTTACAAATACTCCAACTTCTTATACTTCACCATTTATTTCAAACAATCAAAATTCTTCTCGCATACTACCAGTTACAAGAAAATACTAAATTATTAGCACGAAGCGTCTGCAACTCAACCCTTTTTACGCGCCAATGCTAATACAGACAAACAAACAAATGTAGGAGTATTAGTACCAGTTACCAGTTTATATTCCACGCACGTAAGCGCTCACGCCCGGCACTCCCACACCCATCGCTAGATGCACAAATGTACAAACCTACTACAAGTAGAGCTTGAAGTATCCTTTCACTAACTTTTCAATTCCTAATTATAATTAGTGAATCGGTTGTGTTCATAAATATTAAAAAGCCTCGACTGCCTGCTTGACTGTCAACTTCGCACCCCCGGCACATAGCCGAAATTCATTGTCAACAACTTGCTGGCTCTGTTTGTTGTTGTTGTTGTGCGCGTTGTTAGCCTCACAGCGACATTGCGTGAATAATTAACTGAGTTGTTGCAAACATTTCGCCACGCTGCCAGCGTATCTATGCTCATGCAGAGCTTTGCATTTGCTACCATTAAGTGAAGATGTGCCAGTGCTGCCGTACTTCCAAATTCCTTTTTTTTTTCAAAGATGAAAACTTATATTTTCGCAAAGTTTGGTGCGTTTTCTGCATGCAAGGCGAAAGTTCCATTGTCAAGCATTTAAAATTTATGTTTATATGAATATGTATTTATTATATACTTATATATATATATATATATATATTATATTTATATACATCTACTAAACCACCCATAAATCGTTGGCTGTCATTTCTACCTCCCCGCCTACCTTACAATAGCGCCATTTTGTTTTCTCTACTTCCTTTTTATCGTGTAACTGTGAATGGAAATGTCAACAACAATAAAAGCAAAGCGTCTAAACATTGCGCCCATGAAACGTATGTATGTACGTGCACGTAACTTATGAATTTGTGCATTTTAAATGTAATTTGTGCGAGGCATAACTAATTATGTATGAATAAACAAACAAACCTATTAGTTGAATTCACTCATACTTACTGTATGTACAATACATACAAGTAAGTAGCATATAGCAGTTCGTATACAAATAGAACTTATATTGTGTGGGTTATTAAACATTTACGGCAGCATTTTAAAGATGCCGTTAGATGTATTTATGATTTATGAATTTGATTATTACGAATACTATTGTATTTGTGATTTTTAGAACGTTTAATAATACGTACACGCATGTATACACATATGTATATGTATGTATATAATATAAAGATGTGTGGCTGCTTATTATAAAATAAATCAGATGCTTATTATAGCATCATTCAATATACTTGACTGACACATACGTGTATATGACTCATAAATAACGGTACAAAATTCGAATTTCAGTGTGTTATAAAAATAAATCCATTATTATTCTAATATTTGGTTTTAGTAGTTTATATCTCGATAAGATTTCTTACTAAAAAAAAACCTCTCAAAGAGATTTTTGATAACTTCACTCAGTACTGTTTGAGGAAAGCTTAACAGTTTTTCTTCGATAACGGCGTTTTTGGACCTGATAGTATATGTAACAGTCGGCATGCGCCATTTTAGTTTCGGATTTAGATTCCCTTTCGGTAATTTTGATGTTAAAATGTATTAAGCTCTGGAAGGCCGATTGCCGAAAATATCGATAAATGTTGAAAATAGTAGACGTAGAGCTCGACCGTCATGTAAGGACTATTTTGAACCATTTAACAAGGCTCGATGTATTATTGCCACACAAGTTAACATAAAAAACCTTATGCACCGAATTTTCATTGGAAAATCACAATCAAATCGCTGCATTTCACTGTCAACTATTGGACCGCTTATGTCCAAGGAATTGCCCAGAAGCGGCCAGCTTTGGCCAATACTTGTAGAATTGGGTTTATGTGCTATCAAGACAATGTCAGGCCACAGACAAAAATTTCGGAAGCTGTATCTAGCACCAAGTTATTACTATCAAGAGAAGCTTGTGAAATTCGACAGTCCTTCTCGTTTCTTGCCAACAGAGGCGAGAGTTTATATGAGGATGAAATATGAAATTAACTTCAAAATGACAACAAGTTATTGAACAAAACGATGCATAACGGTGAACTTAAGTGATCGTTAGGCCCATTGTGCTGCCAATTGACGGCTCAATTAAGCCCTGTTTAACAATTCGGCAGATTCTAAACTTTTTCCAGTACTTTTGAATTAGAACAGTGTGAGCCATGCAAGTCCATGCCCGTCTTAATTGACGGATGCTTAGCTTTCACAAATCTAATGCTCTTGCGTCTCATGATCCTCCGCGTATGCTTTGTAATTTGTCGTTAACACTTTACTTAGTTTCTGAAGGTGAGATCTTAGTGGTAAATGGCTGTGAAGACACCTATCATATTACTTAATTCCCTCTTCACTAAAATAAAATAGAATTATTATAATTCTTTGTCGCCATACTACCTAAAAGTAATTTCTGAGTAGGCTCTGTGGGCCTAAGGTTTTTCTCTAACGTCCGCTGCTTCAAGCAACACAATCAAGTAAAAATTTGATAAATATTTACCGACATCTTCAAAATAGTTTCTCCACAAAAATTTTAGTAAGAAGCGACAGTGGTCTCACGGTTGCATTTGTTGTCGAGAGTGAGCAAGCGCGGCACCTATCGTGCCTACAGCTTTCTCATGCTCAATATTTCATTTATCTGGTGTCGCTCAAATTTTTGCTATGGGTTTTTGTAATGTTATTCTCCGTTGTAACTGTTTTTGAGGCACCTTGGCGTGAATAAAAAACCACTGAAACAAACGAATTTTTGACCATTCTCATTTAAGGAGAATAATCACCGCATGTTCTTTGATTCGCTTTAAAAACGAGAATCTAATAACCGGAAACAAAATTTCGAGCGCGATTCGGCTTTAGGCAACGACATGCTCCATTGATAGATTGGTTCATTTCTTATTTTTATTCTGTGTCCTAACCGGAGCGGACTCTCAATGTTTTTAATTGAATTTAAAAGGAGGGTAGGCAAAGTTCCTATTCTACAA